CCTAAACCCATAAAAATCTGTTTGGACTCATCATACATTGAAAATTAACTATCTTGTCGACTCTACATGCAAACAAAAAGGAAAACAGACGTCGCCAAACCACCATATCCATGCTTCAATTCTTCAGATTGTGCTAAATATCATCCACAGATTTTCGCATGTCGTCACAAGAATGCAGCCACTAGTCGAGTCAACCAAAAAAAAAGAAAAAGCAGCACCAAAACTGTGCAGATAATCGACAAAACGAACCATAGTCGATAATATCACAAGCAACAGAGTAACAACAAATAAAAAAAAAAAAAAAATCTTTATCTTACGCTTGTAGCACCTGACAATGCACAATGTGACTCTTCAACCCGCTCCTCCCAGCAATACTCGACCACAAATTAGTAAACAAATTCCGAATATGCCCCTTACCCCCAATATTCTCCCACACACCCGGATTCGTCTCCACCCTCCTATCATTACTCAACACATCCACAATACTTATACTCATATTATTCCGAATTATACAAAGCTTCCCATTAAGTGTCACTAGCGCCGCCGCTTCCAAAGCCCTCGAATTCCCCAAATGCAATTTACTATCCATAAACCTACTCCAAGAATCGGTACTCTCCTCATAAACCCTCAACTTACACCCATCACGACAATCCAATGCATAAAGCTTCCCATTCATAGAAATACTCGGATTACGCCACCCAGAAACCATCCCATCGTTAATCGCACTCCAAGAGTTATTATCCGGCGCATACGCCTCACTCAATACCTCCCTGTGGGCCCCTAGCCCTTTCAAGAACCATTTCCCGCCATAAACGACCCCAATAAACGGCACCATAGCCGTACTCATGTCGGCTATAAAAGTCCACCGGTTTCTATTCGGGTCATAAACTTCCGCCGAACGTAAAGTCCTCTGAATCCCCTCACACTCTCCACCCGCAACATACAAACAGTTATTAATAACACACGAGCCGAAAAAATGGCGCCTTCTGAGCATATCCGGAGCTCGATGCCATTTATTCGTGCGCGCGCTGTAAAAAATGACTCTTCTCATGGAACCCTTTAAAGGGTCTTTTCCTCCGAACAAGTACAAGTGGCAGCCGCTGAGGACAGCGCACCCGAAGCCGAGCGCTGAGCTGTACTCGAGCGGGACAGGTGGCAATGGCTGCCACATGTGGTAAATTGGGTCGAACGCGTGCCATGATATTCGGCCATCGCGGTCTCGTTTGATTACGTAAACCCACTCTTCGGCCATTCCAAGGGTTTTGCGGAGGGAATAGAAGAAGTTTCCGGCAAGGAGTTTGAACCAGCGCTTGCAGACTAAACGGAGCTTGTTGTGGTCGACACGTGGCACTCGGATGAGGCAGGCGATTGCCAGGTCATCGGGGAGGCCCGGGAGAAGGGGAGGTTGGATGCGGGTTCGTTCGCGACGGGAGGTTTTGGGCTTGTGGGCCCGAGGGTTGATGTCGGGCTGGATGCAGATTTTTGAGCCCGGGACAAATTTTCGGGCCCCGACTACTGTTTTGAAGCCCGAGTCAACTTTGCAATAGCATGACACGGAGTCGACCTGCAAAACCCATGTCTCCTTTGTGTCATGTGTTGATCATGCATACAAACACAATTTTATTATTCACTACAAAATAATTATTATTGAGATGGAAAATCGTTTCAGTAGCTGCAATCTAGTAATGTAACAACATTTATGTCATATTATTTAGCAGAAAATTGATGTTCCATAGCTTTATCAATGTTTAAACTCAGTCATGCTTGAATGAGATAGGTAGCCCAAAAAGCTGAATAAATCTCATAGCTTGTGAATTGTGATTTTTCTTTATTCACCGTTTGTATAATTCTTATTCTGTATGCTTCATAGAGTATTGATGAAAAAGGTTACGTCAAACATGAGACGAACATTATTTATCTGGCAGATGAATCTAGACTCTAGACTGTATAGTGCAAAACTAAGTTGTAAACACTGCTTAGGTAATTTATTGGCAAAATTAGTCAATCGAAACAGAGATGTAATTATATTTCTTGTGGACGTATCTTAGATGCATAAACACTGCTTGCAGCATATAATGAGTGTTTCTAGAACGATTTGATTTGAGCACATAACAAAATGAACCCCTTAAACACGAGATCTATTGTGTCTATCTGCGATTTTAGCTCATAATACTAACATGTCTAACAAGAGTGAAATCAAATCCGACACTGGAACTCCAATTGCAGTTCTTTTTGTTCTCACATATATGATATAGGTAAAAGGAAGCATAATTAAATCATTCAGGAATGTGAGCTCTCAAAAGTTTTAATGAGAAAATTCATGATACACACAAGTAAAGGATAGATAGTGAACCTTGAAAACATGATATGAGCATCTACCTCTCAGAATATCTTTCTCAATTCCACTGTGGAATAGAGCTCAAACTTTTATCCAGCTTTAGATGTAAAACAAATTATTGCATAATTTTGCAGAGAAAAACGAAAAATGTAAAGGAAAAAGAAACAATTCTATCCAAGCGAGATGCACCCTGCTTATTCGCCTTCCTCAAGAACTACAAAATTAAAGAAACATTAAAAAATCGAACTTCTTGTATTCAGATGGGGATCTTCAAAATTCAGGAAAATAAACAACAGAAACAAACAAAATCAAAGTTAATAAGAAAATCCATAAAGCAAATTCGACCCGGAATACCAAGAAATATCGCACAGATACCGCACATTACCAAATATTTCATCTAGGCATCAACAGAACATACAAGATTCAACAAACCCTATAAAAAAAGAGTGAGACTGACCAGTGGAGCTTGAACTCTGAAACCCCTTTGTGCATTTGGAGACCTTTCAATTGCTTGCTCCATAAATATCAAAACACGAGTCTTCTACGCATAAAAGGAAAAGGGCAAGGGAAACAAAAAAAGGAAGCAGCTTTTTTCTCCACACACACTCAGATCAAGAACCCAAAAGGACAAAATCTTGAAATCTGAATAACTCACCAGTTGTTCCGAAGAAAGTAGATATCTCGCACACCAAACATACCCAAGATAAAAATTAAAAATAAAAAAAAATGGGAGAAAAAGAAAAACCTCTCCGACCGAAAAAAGAGCCTTTTATTTTCAGGGATCCCTTTATGTTTTTCAGCTCTGGAAACGAAAACAAGGAAAAACAGAAACAGCAAGATATATGCCTGGGAGTTGGGATTCTAGCTACTTCAAATCGTGAAGGGCATCTATTTTTTCTCAACTAGCGCTCTCTCTCTCTCTCTCTCTCTCTAAGAGTACATTATACATACAGAACCTGTACACATAAACACAAAAACAGTAGTTTTTGTTTTGTTTTTTTTTTTTCAAACAGTAGTTTTTGCTTGTCTGACTAATAAGGTAGACTTATAACATAAAAGGCCCTAAATAAAAACTGAACATTACAGCTGGACCCAGTAAAGTATTGTCTTTAGTGTCAAACAAACATGGGTTTACTTTGCTGATTTTCAGTCATTGCACTATATTATCGCCTAAGATATTGTGCACCATAATAATCTGTGAGGGATCGAAAAAATTAATTTTAAGNTGCAATTTCAGTCCTTCCGGCCTCGGAAAATTGACTTTCTCGCCGTGTCGAGCACGTGACCCTCACGTGCTAGATTTTCCGGCTAAACAATCTGAGTTGGCATGCTGCTGTACATGTGGAAAATGAAAAAAATCGAAAAAAAAAACAGAAACACACGTGGGATGAACCGACCGGGTATAAAACCAAACAACCATCAATTTTGCCTAAATCGAACTTCTAAAAATCAGAAAAACCCGTAACCCTATTTTCTTCCCCAAATCTCCAAATATGCTCGAACAGAAAACCCTAATCATGTCCGAGAGCTCTCAGGTTAACGGCGAGTCCTACTGCAAGTTCTTACAGAGGTCAATCATAGTCACCTCTTGGACCAGCAAAAATCCTGGTCATCGTTTTCGTTCGTGCTCTGAATATAAGGTAATGCCCAATTTATCTTTTTTGTTCTTAATTTAGGGTTTTTTATATAGGTTGATAAATTGTATTCTTTTTTCTTGGATAAAATCAGAATGGAGTTATGATTTTTTTTCTTGGGTTGATCCACCAATGTGCAGACGATCGAAGCAAATAATTCCTGGACTCCTACGAAAATCAAATCAACTGCGTGCTCAAAAATGAAGCATTGGAAGAGGCAATTTTGAAAATGGAGGAAGAAAATAAAATGTTGGTTTTAGAGAACAAAAAGTTGCAGTTGAAGTTGCAAGAGGCAAGTTCGAAAATGAAGGATGAAAATAAAATGTTGGTTTTAGAGAACAAAAGGTTGCAGTTGAAGTTGCAAGAGGCAAGTTCGAAAATGAAGGATGAAAAAAAAAATGTTGGTTTTAGAGAACAAAAGGTTGCAGTTGAAGTTGCAGAGGAACTCAAAGACTACATTTTGGTTTTGGTTACTTGTTGGAGTAGTATCTGTGTACTTGTACTTGATTTCAAAGAAACAGGTCAATGGTTCTGGTCAATTAAAAATGCTTGTTTAGAATGTTGGTTTGAATTCAAATAGTATGCTTTGTTGGTTTGAACTTTGTTAATGTGTAGTGTTTTGAACTGAAAGTTGGTTGTGTTCAATGCATTGTAATGTGCACTTTGTTGGTTTAGATTGTGGTGTGTCAGTGGTAGACTTCCTTGTGTTTAGATTGTAATGTGAACTTTGTTGCACTGGTTTTGTAATGTAATTTCCATGGAGTTAAGTTAAGTTTTAAGTTTTTTAGTTCCTTGTGTTTTAAGTTTTAAGTTTCTCAGTTCAGCTTTATTGAATTTAAGTTGTTTACATAGATACAAAACTGAATTTTTTGAGAACATGATACTAAAACAATCATGAACAAAAGGTAACAAAGTTTAACTTGCTAATTTCAACATTATAAGACAAAACAAAACAATCAGTGCTATCATTACAATCAACCAAATGGTAACAAATGTTCACTTCCTAATGAAGCCAAAACAATGATCAACCAAAAGAACCAAAAGATGTACCATCATCTACAACCATTATCTACAAATAACACAAAAATCATGCAGTCATGAAACATAGTTCGATCTGCAGAACGTTTTGATCAAATTACAAAAGTACAAAAGGCAACAAAGTTTTGATTAATACAAAATCAGCCTTCAAATTACAGTCACAATCCTTGACTTTTTCCCTGAGACATTTGTAATTGCTGGTGAGGTGAAGGCCCAGCTCTGTTTGCACTCTTTGGAATTTGATACTCTTCATATTCTTGTCCTAGAGACCCCAAATCAACAGCTTCACCTTCATCTTCATTAGCTATCACTGGTGGCAGAAGTGTGGGATTCTAAACAGAAAAAGAAAAAGACACATGATCAATGTACTAATATACTTACTTAAAGGATTGAATGATCAACAACATGAAATATGAAATAGAGTATAAATAAATCTACTTATATACTTACAGTATTAGGTTTAAGACCATATGCAGATCTCTTTTTAGCCTTTTCAACACTTTCACCATTCTTCCTCTTTGTTTCAAGCTTCAATAAAGAAACAAAAACATGGGAATGGCATTAACTTATTGACATACAAGATACAAAATAACAAAAGATTGATAAAATGTAACTCACAATTGTTTCAAAAGCTCTTTGCAATGGGCTTTTGTTTTGTTCTTGTGTTAGTTGACTTTGGGCTTCCAACTCTTGCTCCTTTCTCTTGTCACAGGATCTTGAATTATGCCCAGGCACACCATATTTCTTGCATGTGACAGTTGGTTTTTGTCTCTTCATCTTCATGGGTTGTTTCCCTTTCATTTGCTTCTTCTTCTCCTCAGTGTCTCTAACATCTTTCCTTCTTCTAGTTGAAGGTCTGCCAGCCCTCCTCCCAAAGTTGGGTGGTAATGGGGGGATAAAAAGGGTCTGTCTCTAGCAAGGGCCCATTTGTGCCTAAGATTGACCCTCTAAAAACCTTTCTATAACACTTAGTGGAGTAACACTCATGCACAAAATCAACATGAAGCAATTTTTGTGCTAGAATAGCACTACAGACATGTTTACATGGAATTCCTCCCAAATCCCATACCCTGCAGGTACAAGTCCTCTTCTCCAAATCCACATTGAACTGAGACCCATCATAACATTTAATTTGGTAGTGCTTATCATCACATTTGATTAGCATGCAGTCACAAACATGGGACAAATGTTTTTGAAGAATCAGATTCACATTAAAAAAATCTTTCCATTCCACTTAAGCTCTGTCTTATCTCTTTTTTTGCATCTTAATGAAAATGTATACCCTAATCCACTCTAGCATGGTAATGATAGGTTTTTCTCTTGCTTCAAGTATGTTGCTATTAAATGTTTCACAAACATTATTAAGCAACATATCACACTTTGATAGCTCTGAAAAATGAGACCTGGACCAGTGTTGTGGTGGTTTATCAAGGAACCACTTGAAAGCATCTAAACTCATATCCCTAATTTCCATTATCCTGCCATTGAACTCCCCTACAGTTGTGGCTTGTGCTGCTCTCCAGACTGCATGCTTGTAGGCCATTCCCCTAAAACCTGCCTTCATGAAGTTGTTATGAAGATGCCTGACACAAAATCTATGACTAGCTCCAGGGAAAACAGTGTCAAAAGCTTTGATAAGACCTTTTTGCTTATCAGAAATGAATGTAAAATACTTAAAAAAACTTATTCCTAGATCCTTCTTTAGGATTATGAGAAACCATTCCCATGTTTCAAAGCATTAACTTCCAACAACAGCAAAAGCAATAGGAAAAAGGTTATTATTTAGGTCTACACCCACTGCAGTCAAAAGAATCCCTCTAAGTGGACCCTTCAAATGGCATCTATCAACACCAACTATAGGCCTACATCCAGCTTTGAACCCCTCTTTAAGAGCATTAAAAAAAATATAGAATTTGCTAAATCTCTCCTCACCATTCTCTTTCTCAGTGGCAAGTATGACTGTTGATCTAGGATTTGAAGTCCTTAACTCTTCTGCATAATCCCACAATTGGGAAAATTGATCATCAGGATGGCCCTCAAGCTGTGCAAGAGCTCTTCTCTTACCCTATAGGCTTCATCCTTAGATATATTCACATTCAAGTTATGAATAACATCTAGTCTCCAGCCTTTGACACTTCTTTTAGGATCAGTTTGAAAATTACTGATGAATTTCTCACTCAACCATTTTGATTTGATATTTTTAACATTAAATGTTTCAAAGTAGAAATGAGTAGGGTTGTATTCTCTGATCTGGAAACTAGCTTCACCCTTCATCTTTAACAAATTGATCTTCCAACTACAATCATTTTCTGCACACCTTACATAAACCTTTATCTTGTCATTTTTCTCTGTCCTAAGGTTTCTATTTTGTCTTAATTGCATGTGACTGGATGGCCTTCCTAAACTCTTCTTTTGTGGCAAAAATCATCCCAATTTCAAAAACAGGAACAAAAACCTGAGAGGAATTAAACACGGGTGGATCCACATTTTCAGTGTCACTGCCCACCAACTCATCTAGATCAACAGGGACTTCAACAACATCTTCATCACTCTCACTCATAGAATCTGTCTCATCTTCACCATTTGCCCCTATATCTACATTTTCAAACCATAATGCATCATCACCATCACTGCTAGTCTCTCTCATGTCATAATCACTATCCAAGAAATCAGACTGATCAACAGTGTCATCTTCTTGACACTCATTATCAGGCTGATTATCTTCTTCAATCTCACTCTCATGTTGACTCTCTTTTTCTTTGACACCTACATTTGCATTCTCAATCTCATTTTCAGACTCAACCTCAAAACTTTCATCCTCACCATCAGAATCAAATTGCAGCCTAAACCAACCACCCTCTATAGAAAAAGGAGAAGGACTAAATGCATCAGAAGCCTCAACATACACAGCCAGATGCCTCATAAATTTGTGAGCCAAGGCCCATGTTCTAATGTCATCATCCCCATTCAACAACTTGAAACTTAACCCCAATCAATACAAAAGATCTCTTACCATCCACAATACCAAATTTTTCATACATTTGCCTCAAAACCGACTTAGACATTATTTTAGCATCAACAAAGTCAAAAACTATTTTATCTTCTCCAATATACTTAGCATAGAGCTCATGCACAAATGAACCACCACACCATAATTCCACAGTTATGAAATTACTACTCAATNCCAGGAAAAAAAAAAAAGACAAACAAAACACAACATAAAAAATGCATTAGGTGCAGTGAAAATTAAACATCAACATTCGAAAAAACAAAATAAAGCACATGGGACCATAAGGGGAAAGGGACCATTTTTCAAAAATGAAAGGGAGGTGGACCATGCTCGACAATTAGTGAATAGAACATAGAACATACCGTATTCAGGGGGATCATTATCCCAATAATCCTTTGCTCTAATCTTTGTGTTGTTGTCCATCACATCGAATTTGCTCCGAATTTGGATTAGAAATGCAAAACAATGAGAGATTGAGATGATTAGGGTTTTCTGTTCGAGCAGATTTGGGGATTTTGGGAAGAAAATAGGGTTATGAGATTTTCAGAAGTTCGATTTAGGAAAAATTGATGTCTGTTTGGTTTTATACCCGATCGGTTCATCCCACGTGTGTTTCTGTTTTTTTTTTCGATTTTTTTCATTTTCCACATGTACAGCAGCATGCCAACTCAGATTGTTTAGCCGGAAAATCTAGCACGTGAGGGTCACGTGCTCGACACGGCGAGAAAGTCAATTTTCCGAGGCCGGAAGGACTGAAATTGCACAAAATTTTTAAATCACAGGACCAAATTGCGAAAAGTTCAAACCTCAAGACCAAAATTGCTACACATTAAATTCAGCAGTACTAAAATTATAATTTTGCCTCCTTAATACATATTTCTTTTTGTTTATTTTGAGGACAATCATCGTTTATCGTCAATAATGAATAAATGCAGTGCTAGTGAACATATGATAGAGACAACCACTATTAGAAAAAGTGAAAAATATATATATAGGCATATATAAAAATTTCATGTTACCAATGAATCCGTCAATTATTTATTATAATTGCAAAATTTGTATTTATCATTTTTTAATTCCTCTTAATTTGTACTAGTACAATTCCCGTGTATTACACGGGTGCTGAATTAGAAAGTTTTTGTAAAAATATTAAATTTTTTATTTTTTTAAAAACTAAAATAATTTAATTTTATATAAAAAATTACTTTTAGTTAAATTGTCAAATTATATTTTTTTAATCATAATAATTAAACACCCGTACATTAAATGAAAATGTCAACCCGTGTTGAATTTTTTCACTTATATTATATAAAAATATCGATATTATTTACTATTACATAAGTATAAAAATATATATCTTAAATAGATAGAAATAATATGGTGATATGTATATGCGTGTATAATATGTTTATTTAATATTAAGTAAAATAGATTAATTTTTTTACTTAATTAGATGCCTAATACATTAACTGTCGTATCAATAAATTTTCTACCTTATAACATATAACTACATTAAACATAAATATATTAATTGATAAATAATTTTATTTTCTAATAATTTTAATAAATAATTTTATTATTATTATAAAGATAAATATAATTTATTTATTTTATATATACAATATGGATGTCAAATCGAAGCTCATTAAAAGATGATTAATTTGATATATTATATATGTAAAACCGATAAGAAATACAAAAGTTATCAACTTTTAAAATATATATACAATTCAATGGTTATAATAGGAAATGATATTAAAATAGAATAATACAAATATTAATTTATATCCAAGCCTAACTCCAAAGCATAATTTTTTGCCAAATAAGATTCTGAAGCATGAGAGTTTGCCACGTAGGCTCAGCGCATTCTCAAATTATATAAACAGGGGATTGTATGACATTAAGAAACAATGGACACGAGCAAAATCATTGTTACCGGTTCTTTTCATAATCTTATATTTTATTTAGTTAATTAATCAAAAATATTTTTATAAAAAATCACATAAGATAAAAAATGATTGAAAACTTGATTATGATGGGTAGTGTTTGTATCATACCAAACTTATACCCAACATCTTAATATTTTTTCTTCTATTTTTCATTTTATTCTTTAATAAATAATAGAAATCGCTTACTGTAGGAAATAAAAATGGAACCATTAAATAATAGTTTGATTTTGCCCAAATTAATTTAAATAGGGTCTTGATTTTTGTATTTAATCAGTAGAAAATTACTTTACATGAAATAATTAGTTGCTTTTTACCTACTACAATCACAATNTGGCCATTTTTTTTTTTTCGAAACGATAGATACTATTATAAATCAAAATGCACAAATGTGCAAATACAAAGCAGCCAATGGCTGAAGACGTGGGAAAACAGGTCAAAAGACCGCCTAGATCCGCCTCTAACAAAGCTAGAATAACAACACACAAACCAACTGCACAACACAAAACTAGAAAAAGATCCCACCGGGATAATACCCGAGTGTCGGATCCCAACAGGATAATAAGTTGACACTCGGGCCCACAGGAGCCAACGACCCAAACAAAAAATACATGCCCTAAACAATACAATCACAAACTACACTAACAAACGGAAAATCCACATAAAACAAAAACACTAAACTATTAGAAAAAAAAACCCTTCCTAAGCAGCGTAACCAAACAGAGGCAGTAGATACCAAATCGACCTAGAATGAGTCCCATAGCCAAATAGAACCGACCCATAACTGCCCAACAACAACTCGTGGCCTAACGAAGTCTAATTCCAAGCCCCCGAACAACATCCAAAATCAAACTCGAACCACGACCTCAACACCCAAGATGCTTCAGAACCGCCTCGTTACCTAGCCCACTAACACCACTAGCGAGGCCATCCACACCCGGTGAACCCCGAACCACGAAGATGCCGAGGCTGCATCCACGTCCCCGACCACTCGGAGCCGCCACAATCCTCCACCCACCACTGCCCCACCTCTGCCATCGCCACTGGCCGGAGGAAAAAACACTGGCACACCCCAATCCCAACACCGTAGAAAAAGAGAAGAAGGTTGGAAGTGCAGTGGAGCTCTTGCCGTCCGACACCAACGTCACCGAACGACCGAAGCACCCTCCACCCGACCACCCGACCGAAGCCGCCACAATCCTCATCCCACCACTGCCCCACCTCTGCCATCACCACTGGCTAGGGGAAAGAGCAATGGTCCAGCCCCAGACCCACTCCGTATGGAAGGGGAAGAAGAAAGAAAACATAGCAGGACTCCAGCCGTCCGACGGCATCGCCGACAAACACCCACACCACCATCACCATGCCTCAGGAAGCCCGAAAAAAGATAAAAGCACGAGAGCTGGAAACTGAAAACCAAACCTAAATTGAAAGCTAAAAGCTTACCTGAAATGAGCGTCGGGGGAGGCGCGTGAAATCGGGCGGAGGCCAGGCGGCTGGGGGATGACCACCGATTCGTACTCGATTGCCGCAGAGAAAGGTTGAGCTAATCTGGATTGGAAGTGAACGGAGGCTAGAGTTCGGGAAGGAGGAATTAGGGAAGAAGGACGACCAACGCTATTCAATGTACATCGTCACAATTTCTCCTCACATAATAATAATCAGATATTTGTTTCTATACAATGTTTTAAACTTGGCTTGGTTTATCTAATTCATCTAGGCTTTAAGGTACCAGGTGAAGTTTTCATTACATAATTAATTTATTATTTTTTATTTCTTATAAAATAGATAAAAGTGAGAGAAATAATTGGTTTACATAAAGTTATCCAATTTTTTGGATCTGAACATTATTGGTTTATGTAATCTTAAAAAAGTTCCTCTGTAGGGTTTCCCTCTGTTTAGAGTAGCAGTTCATTTCCTAGGATTTGTTCCCATAAGTTCCATCGTCTTTTGTTCCTTTAATCCGAGTCGTACTTTGTATTATTCTTAGGGCTTGATGTTGTGGGTTGCACTGGTTCTCTTATGTGTCTCATCTAGCAGCTTAGCCCATTTAACTTGTGTTGCGTTGTTTTCTTGTTCCCTTATTGTTGCCAGGTGCCTTTCAATTGTGCTATTTTTCCCTTGTTATTGGTGTTTTTAGGTGCGTGTTGTTTTGTGTGGTCTGGTGTGCGTTGGATCTCTTCGGAGATTGTTAGTGTTAGTGATGGATCAAGAAATTTTGGATAAACTACTCCATTTCAAATTATCTGAAAAAGGAGGAACATGGAATAGATATGGTAGATAATATAGCACCTAATTTGCGTGAGTGCCAGTTAAATTTAATTAGAAAAATTTATGGAGAAAATAAAGCTAACTTTAGCGGCCTAAAAACGACTCTAGGAGGAATTTGGTTAACTCAGAAGCCTTTCTCCATTAGGAATTTAGGGAATAATTGTTTTCAAATTCTCTTCAATTCGGAACAGGATATAGATAAAATATTAGAGGGCAAAACCTGGTCATTCGATGGCCAGTATATTTTGCTGAAATTATGGAATCCTGAGAGTAATGAGTTCAAGGAAGAGGAGGAAAAAATTAAAATTTGGGTACAAATAATAAATCTTCCTTTACACCGGATTTCTATTGAAACATGTATGAAATTGGGCAGAATTTTGGGTAAAACCATTGATATTCAAACTCCTGGACAAGTTCTGAAAGTGTTGGTGGAAATGCCTCTCAAAGAACCTATCCTCAGAGGAACTCACATGAAAATGGGAGAGGAAAGTAGATGGGTGTATTTCAGGTATGAAAATATTCAGAGCTTTTGCTATTATTGTGGTGTGATTGGGCATTCAGATAGGAGTTGCATTAAAAAGAAAGAGGATATAAATAAAAAATACTCTTAAACTAGGTCAGTATGGGGAATTGCTGAAAAACAGTAGTACTGCTTCTAGCAATTCTAAGAGTCTATCTAATCAAAATCTTGGCAGTCATGCTAGTACTGATGTCAACGTACCTAGTCATGACTCTAATGTAGCCAAGAGTGTATTGGGGGATAAGAGTAGTCAGGGAGAACCTAGTCCCTCAGCCCTGTTTGTTCTTTTGATAAAAATAAGAATCAGAGTGGAGGCTCAAAAGACCAAGGGAAACCAGGGTCTTGTAGCGCTAAGGTTGGTGAACCATTACCTGCTGAAGGGTCTTGTAGTGATAAGGTTGGGAAACCAGGGTCTTGTAGTGCTCTGACCGATCGAACCTTGGCTGGGCTGTTGTGGGTCGAGGCGGGTGTCTTCAAGGTTCGGGCTCGTGCGAGTGTCACGGACTGGACGCCGGTCGAATGCTGACAGGGGTCGACTGGCACGTCTGGGCATTGGCGAACGACGTCGTCTGCGAGCAGGTGCTGCGGCGTCGTATTGCGCGTTGGTCGCTGCTAATGGGCACACTGGGGCGTGCTGGCTAACATGCACTGGCGGTACCGGTTTCGGGCGCGTGCGCTTTAGGCTTCGTACGCTTGTGAGGACTGGGATGCGCGCGAAGCCTTTGAGCGATCTGGCATTTGCGGAAAGCGATTAGGGTGCATGAGGATTTCGGATGGCAGCGTGCGACTGCACTTGGGAACTCACGGCATCGCCGGGCGAGATGCTTCTGGCACCTAGGGCTACAGTGCGGATTTGTACGCTGTGAGGTTTGGGACACACTTGGNCGGCGGTTTCCGGCGACTCACTGCGGCTGAGGGCGTCTCTGGTGGCCGGATATTTTACAAATAAAAGGGTCGATATATATTGTACCTTCAAGCCTTCTAATGTATGACCTTTACACTTACTTCGAATAATTTTAGTGGGGAATTAATCGAAACTCCCAAACTCTCAAATATATGAAGAAGACGCTTTTCTTCTTCATAATAGGAACCTTAAAATCAAGCCTCACAATGTCTAGGGAAAGAGGTTGGGACATGGAGTATTTATAGCCAACATTAGGGACCTTAAAGAGGCGCTAAATATGGGCTTATTCAACTAGGGTTAGGAATCCTAATCATTTTCCATATAAGCCTTATTCCTTCTAACCCTAACTACCCCTTCTAGAAGACTCACAAGTCTCCTTACCATTAGTAATATTGTAGAAGAAATATTCATCTTCTTAGAGAATTAAATAACTAGAGAATAATTAATTCATCTCTTAATTAAATTAAATAATAAAATATTTCACTAAAGTAATATTATTTATCTCCCCATTTAGCTCCAATTTATTCAATAAACTCGAACCTCCACTTGATTAATAAATATGAATTTAATTCATTTAATTGATCGATTTACCATCCCCATGTTTAAGATATAACATCCATCGATTAATTAAATTACTGACAATAAAATTAAATCAACTTCTTATTCATTTCTGAAACTAGTACCACTCAGATCCTTAATTATCGGATACTCATCCGCCTGCAGGGCTTGACATAATATTCCTTCCTGAGCTCATTTTGGGGACGTGATCAACCCAACGCACTGGGACATAGTGACCGTAAATTAACTTATAACAACACATCATATAAACATCATCATTTACCAAAATACCGAGTATGTCATCCTAGTAAAATAGGAATCACCCTTGGTAAATCAAATAAACAAGTAATGAATTACTGAAGGTCTTGATTATAACCCTTCAGCACATCATAAGATTCATAACTTGTTTATTTGATTACCTTCAGCACATCATAGATTACGAAGGGTCATTTACCAAAATACTGAAAGTTTATATTATCTTACAGCTTAAGAGTACACATCAACTACTAAAGGTCTAGATTATAATTGTGATTAGTAAATCTTATGATCTTATCCTTCCGCGGTCCTGTCCAATACTTAACATAAGTACTGGTACAATCCTTCAGTCAAAGACCAACTGAATCAAGACTACACTAGAGTCTTTTTCCAACAGGGGTCTTAGTGTCTGTCTAGACTGTGAACAATTAGTTTATCTTACAAGGAACCGATATATGATCTTTCTGTTCGACACATCGAACTTTACTATCTACAATGTAAGATAAATGAGTATGATTGCATGAATAAATAAACTGCAATCATAAGTACTTTGACTAAAACATGATTGCGAGATAAAAATGGAATTGCTAGAATCTGAAAGTCGAGCTTTTACAACATATCCTAACATGTGCTACAGGATGCGACTCCTGCGATCGATGCCCGTCGCATGAACAACCTGCAGCTTAACTATTGGTCGCATCTCGCGTGGCTCGGTTAGGTTGTCACATCCTGCGAGGTTGGTCTGATCCATCTTTTCTTCCCGGCAAAAGTATTCGAGAAGCATTTTCCTACAAAAATGGAATATAAAATTAGAAAAAAAATATACAAAATATGTAATTAATACAAAAACACATACGAGATAAAACAACCTAATGAACCAGAAAATTCTGTAAACGAGCTTACATGAACTCAAAATAAGACTATAAAAACACCAAAAATACCAACAAAAACACACACAACAGATTATGGTCCCTACTCCCATTGTACATGAATAATATTTCATTTTACTAAAGAAATATTAATAAACTTCAAATTTAAGCCCAAATTATGTATAATTTGTCTCCAGATTTATTCACTCGATTTATTTTTTCATGTTTAAAATCTAATGTCAGTCGCTTAATTTAATTACGAATAATATAATTAATCAACCTTTTGTTCCGAAACTAGTACCACTCAACTATTTATTATTATACTAAAAATCAATTCGTCTGCATGGCTTGACATAATAATCCATTTTGAATTCATTTCGGTGACGTCATCAACCTGAGACGCTGGGACATAGTGACCGTAAATAATCTTAACGACACATCATGTACTCAAAATTATTTATCAAAATACCAAGGCTACTGATTTATAATAAATCTGACTCAAAGAAAAATCAAATAAATAACAACGAATACATATGCCGGTTTATTATCTAATGAATCAAAGGTACGAGTAATAATTGAGGTCTAGCTCATTTATTTGGTCTCTATAAAATGAACTTATCCTCAGGGGTTCATTCAATATATTACAAATGTACTAGTGTAATTCATTACTCAAGATTAAATAATTGTAAAATTGCATTACATCTATTCACGAAAGTTAGTTTAATTCTATCTAGGTTGTGAACATATTTATTTTATATTTTGCAAGACATCGATTATGATCTTTTGTTTGACATTGTTAATATCCGAGTCCGGCTCCAATTAGGATATCGGTCCGAGAGACTGAGAGTCGGGCGGAGGCCGGCCGAACCGAAGAAGCCGGTCACCAAAACCGTTCGTGGGTGCCGAGTTGAGCAAAAATCAAAGCCACCGGGAACGGTGGGTAGAGCCGATCCTGAGGTCGGCACCATGCCCTCTCAACTGCGAGGTCGGCACCCTGTTCGATATCTTATAAGGGCGGCCCCTAATAGAAACACGATCTTGAACACAATAAAATAAGGCCACTTGTCGACGAATGATTGCCGATGGGACATCCTAGACTAGTCTTCAGGACTAGGACGTCTAGCTCGGCCAGAGAACATGTCAGCATTAAATGCAGCCCACGTCCGCATTAAATGCGTGGCAGGTAATGATTGAGAAACCCAGAAATCACTCCCAATCGGTCAGAGAAACGCCGGCCTGTCCCGCCTAACTGCTGTACGACAAGACCGGTGAACAGTGCCTGAACAGTGCCGCATTAAAGAGCACTATAAATAGCAAACCCTTCATTTTTTTTTTTGGTTTTTGTTGAATCCCAACTGTAAAAGCTCTCTCTACGTTTTCTCTCTCTAGATTTGTAAGGAATTGGTGTAAGAATCTGTAAGTATATCGCAAGTGCCGACCTCGTGATCTTTTAATAAAATCATAATTAAACCGTATTTCTTTGTCTTTTTCCCATTATCTTTCCCTTACTTAACTTTTTAACCGTTGATCGGAAACGTCCATCAACAGTTTGGCGCTAGAAGGAGGGCACCATAAGTTACTTGGTGTCAATTTTTCGATCTTGTGAAGCTCCACTTCGCACTCATCTTTTTCCCACTCTTTCCACTTCCAAAAAAAATTCTCAAAATGCCTTCATCCGGTCGTGATGACTCCACCTAGCAGCCCGGCTCCCAGCCTTATGGCCGCAACGGTGGGGAGACCTCCCGTCGTGCTCAGCAGGGACCCATAGTCCTAGTTCCACCAGTTCCTACCTTTGTTGCGGCCTTGCAGCACCCCGATGTCCTCAAAGCCCTCGAGGGGGTCTTCGCCAGGGCTCTTGCCAGCCAGACAGCCGGGGGAAACACCGTGGTGCCCACGAAAAACCCCGGCAATACCCTGCTCCACACTCCCGAGAAGGAGGCCGGGGGGCAAAGGAACCCGACGAAATCCAAAATCACGGCTCAGTCACCGAACCGCGAGGCCCAGAACCGCCGTGACAAGAGCACCAGACCGGCTCCCACCGAACAGACGGGGGAGAGCCGCCCGGAGCGGAGCCTCTAGGTCGTCCGCCGCCCTGTCCACCAACGTTTAGGTGACAAGAGCCAAGCCAACCGTGACCTCCGGGAGGTGATCAGGCGGGGCAAAGCCATAGGGCACGACACCGAGGAAGTCGCGGCCCTAAAACGCAGAATCGCCGAACTAGAAGGTCGGCACCCCGCTGGGAGTGAGCTGTCACTCCCCGCTTATCCGCAATCGTGTGTGCGACCGCCTCCCCGAGCTGAGGACAACGCCTCGCCTCTTTCTCCCGACATCCTACAGGAGGCCGTCCCGAAGAAGATCAAGGTACCCCAGCTCGGCCTCTATGACGGGAGCTCGGACCCTGACTCCCACATTGGCCTCTACACTTCGTGGATGGACCTGCATGGCGCCTCTGACGCCCTACGTTGTCGCATGTTCTCCTTGACACTGGGGCCCAAGGCGTAGAGGTGGTATCACTCCCTTTACCCCCACTCCATCACCACCTGGGCCCAGCTCAGGTCGGCGTTTCGGTCACACTTCATCGGGTCACAGGTCAACCTTGTCCCCAAGGCATCCATCTCCAACATCGTTCAGGGCAAGAACGAGAGCCTGAAGGACTACATCGCTCGGTTCAACGACCGAGTCCAGAACATGGAGCGAGACCGAAAACGCTATTTAGGTGGTCCTTGTATCAGAACAAGCCGACCACCTATCAGGAGTTTCTCACCCGCGCTCAGGATTACATAATGGCGGAAGAACCCTCATCCATCCCGACATTTGACGCCCCGTCGGCGTCACCGAAAGCGAAGGCGAAAGAAGAAAAATCGGGGAAGCCGAACAAGTCATTCGCTGAAATCCGAGCACAGCGAAAACAGAGGGCTGAGGAGCTGAAGAAAAGCTACCAAAGCGTCTTCTCAGTGGGAGCCACAGCGGTTTACGAGGAGATCAAGGCTAAGGGGCTGCTGCCGGACCCCAAGCCCATGTTCACCGACAAGGATAAGGTGGATAAGACCCGCTACTGCACCTACCACAAGGCGCACGGGCACAACACCGACCAGTGCCGAAACCTGATCTTGGCACTGCTTAAACTCATCGATGATCCCCAACTCCAGAGGTTCACCCACTCCGGAGAGAAAAGGAAGAAGGGAGGCCGCTTCGAGGAAGGCCTCGACAGTGACGAGGATGCC